ATTTATATTGCTTTCAGTTACAGCGTAGTCTTAACCAATGTTGTCAGCCTTCTGAAAGTTTTTTAGCGGGAGTAGCATCCTAACTATAAACTCTTATTCTCTGATTTTTAGAAATATAATGAGAGGTTGGCATTGTCTGCATCTACTTCTCTCAATGGGTGTGTGACCAAATATGTTTTGGAGAATCTTACAGTAAAGGCTCAAAGAAATCCTGCTTGAAAGACTAGACTTCATTAACCCACATTTCCAAAACTTATTTAAAATGGGATTAATTTTTCTCATATAATCCATTAACAAGAAACATACCATATAATACCTGTGGGAGAAGAAGTCCACTTATGATGCAATAGAATACTTTTTGGGTAAATAATCTCATGTAAGAGAAGCAGTAAGGTGGTCTGTTCTAACGTGATGCCACTCTAATGGTAAGAGACCTTATGTGCTAGCTGCTGTAACTACTGGTGACGTAAGAGTTAACAAAACCAAGTCCCTGTCGCCAAGTAGGCAATAGAGTGGGAAGACTGAACATTATATATTCAACCATTTAGAGGAAGCTTCTGAACACATTGTTTTGCATGGACTAGGTTTTCATTTGAAGAATATTTGAGTGTTTTCTATAAACAATGTTAATCCTTGGGTTAAACAAAAAATAGACATGTTACACTTACCATCAAAAAGGTCATCACCTGGGAAAACATAAATAATTATAATATGGAATGATAATTACTGTGATAATTAATGTAAATACTGTGTATATACAGAGTGTGCTGTAGGAACACAAAGGAAGGGAACCCAATTTACCTTATGGGTCCCGCCTGTAGGTATTTGGTTCACTTAAGAGTTTTATCCCAGTGCCATAGGACTGAACACATATTTGTTTCAGTGCACGACCCCTGTGAACTGAAAACATCTTAATTGGCAAAGACAATACATAATTTTGATTTAGAACATTAATTTGCCAAATTCTGCCCTCCCATTTGCTATGTTATGATCAGTGTAATCTTCATGTTACTTCTCTATAAGTCAGTTCTTTTTTTTTTTATTTTTTGAGATGGAGTTTTGCTCTATCACCCAAGCTGGAGTGCAGTGACACAATATCAGCTCACTGCAACCTCCGCTTCCCAGGTTCAAGCGATTCTCTTGCCTCAGCCTCCTGAGTATCTGCGATTACAGGTGCCCGCCACTACCCCTGGCTAATTTTTTTGTGTGTTTTTAGTGGAGACAGGGTTTCACTCTGTTGGCCAGGCTGGTCTTGAACTCCTGACCTCAGGTGATCCATCTCGGCCTCCCAAAGTGCTGGGATTATAGACAGGCATGAGCCACCGTGCCCAGCCTGTAAGTCAGTTTCTATCTGTTCCACTGTGGAAAGGGAGCAAGATTGGAGTAAGAATCTTATAATTGCATATGTGTGAGATTTTAAAAAATGGTTACAGCAAAGCAAGAAAAGTCAATATACCTATTAACAGTCTGGAAACTGTTCTGTAGCAGATGGGAGGTGGAAAGTAGAGCTTTGGTCTATCAGTCTTTGTATCATCAGGTACTGAAGAAATTCTGACCTTTATAGGATGTGATGGGAAAAAAATGAAGCCCATGAAAACTATAATTTAAAAAATTAAATAGTAATTTTAAATTATAAAGGTTGCTTATCACTGATTCAGAAGAAAGACGAGTTAGAGATATGGTTTGAGGATTGCAGGCAAGGCTTGTCTGTATAATTTTGATTGTTTCTAAATTAATAGAGCTAAAATATGTTATTATAGCTATGTTGCAGAGCAGGATTAACTTGGCCTCTGCCTAGTAATTATTATGTGGTTGCATGCAAGAAAGACAGTCATTCAGAAGTCTGATGCAAGTGGGACATCTGTATAACAGGCCCACAATTATTTTTTAGGGGAGTTGTAGGAAGAATGAAGTCATTGGCAATTTATCTCTCTGTGATCTATCACTGTGTAAATACCTAACTTAAAAAGCAGCTCTGGTCGCCATTTCCCCCTTTCTCCTTAAACGGATGGATGTTTGTGATTTAGCATAAAGTTCATGAACTAAGAAAAGCAGTTGGGCACAGAATCCTGTATCTTTCCATGCAGTGTATCTTATTATCTTTAACTGTCTGTTAAAATCATGCTTTTAGTTTTACCTTTCCGTAATGAATTGCTGTCATCAGGCTTAGCAAATGAAACAGATTACTTATGGTAACTGTAAGTAGTTATGCACTTCAGATCCTTGACAGAGCCTTCCCAAAGGACAGGCAATGTCTTTCAAAATCCTATTATAAGATTTTATTTGCAGATGCTATGAACAGAAGGCTAGAGCCTCTATAGTTTATTGCTACTCAACTTCATCAGGTCTGCTCACTCTATTGAAAACTCTGGCAAAAATGATATACATCAGCTCTTGTATTCTTTTGTTACCACTCCGTGCAAATAAAAGCATATTGGGGAATTTAATGAAGCAGTATGTCCTTGGAGGGAGCTTTAAAGATTCTGAGTGTACAACTATTCATCTTTAATACTGGAGGTTTCTGTGTAAAACTGGCAGGAGCAAAATAAAGTCTTCACAGGCCCATGTTTGCCACACACACTTGAATTGCATAAATGTCTATGCAGTGGTGACCTTGGAGATGGATGTATTCAGTGACTATTGTAGTGACATTTGAGGTGTGTCAGGGAGTAGTTAGGTTCATGAGAACTACGGCAGAGCTGCTGGAACTGTGGGACTGTTTTGGAGATGGTCCCCTAACTCAGGAAGTGAAGACTCTGATGTTAAAATGAAAAACTGGGGGAGGGGTTGATTACTCAACAATTAATCAATTCAACCCAAGGACACATTTTGGAATCCATGCTGGATGAGAGTACATCTTAGCTTGCTTTGGCTTTGCTAGGTATAGTTGACTTCTTTGTCAGAATCTGGGAAAAGTAGCCGTGATGGATCTGTGCTGCAAAGATCTAGGCAAACATGAAGTTTAATATTCCTATGCTTGTCCTGAGGTGTAGTCTTCAGGTTATATGGGATTCCTGGCCTGCCAGCTTAACTCTCCTTACTAGTGACCATAAGAACACAGGCATACGTTGATAACCTTGTCAGAAGGATACTCTTGATTGTACTTAAATTTCTAAGCTTCAGTACTTTGTTAGTAATTAATACTTTTAAGCCTCCCAATTGATTAGAAAAAATACAAGAATATGGGTGGTGCTGTAGTTGTGAAATGGACAGCCCAAATGGTATTGGAATCTGTAATGGTTGGTCCCTTATTTTTTTGTAGACTTAACCCTGCCCGTATACCGCTTGCTTCTCTTCCTCAGGACCAGCCTCCGAGGCTGCTTTTTATTGTTGCTTTGAATGTCGGAGAATGCAGTTCTCTGTCTTACTCTGGGGGAATGCCAAAGGAACATGTAGTCATTTAGCCTGTGAGAAATTCCGAGTTGCAGCAACTCTAGATATATGTGACCAGATAGTACTTAACTCATTGTTAGTAGGGATCTCACCAGTGACAGCTACATGAAAATATTATTCCAATAGCTTAGTAAATAAAGCCCTATACAGTAAGTGTCAGAAAACAGAGGAAGATATTTTTCCTCATTTCTGAGGCTGAAGGCCTCTTCCTAACTGGAGTCACAAAATCTTTAGTGTATAAAAACATCTTGATATGAAGTGAGAAATGACTGATTTTTTTTTTTAAAGCAACTTATGTTCTATTTGTTTACTACTAAACATTTCTAGGTGCAGTATTTCTTACTTCTCCATCATAACTACCAAGAATTTTTAGAATGTTTTGGGGCACAAAACATTCTATTTTAGACACTGAAAGATCATTTTAATGTTTGCCTTGGAACTTAATCTGCAAAAGTTTATGAGATAATTTCAACAGATCTCACAAATGTTTCCTCAACTATATCTGTATTTGCAGTAACATGGAAATTTAGGTTAAAACATTTTATAGGTGTATTTACTGAAACATACACACCTTTACTATAGCATATCAAATTCACTAGAAAGCTTTAGGTTTAGTTATTAGAGCTCATAGTGAATGTGAAGTCTAAGACATGATAGTACTATGACTTCTATAAGAGATACCATGGAAGCTAAAAAATTAGATATCTGTGCAGTACAAAATGTGGGAAGGCATATGAAGGTGTTACACATTGTTCCTCCCTAAGTTTAAGGATATAAATATAGCACAAACGAGGTATATGCCAGCTGTGGTCTGTTTTAGAATTGTTCCTTAATTCTCCAGTAGTAGTATTAGAAATTGTAATTCTGCCTTCTAGATTATTAACCTTGTATACATGTGCAAAAAAAGCATGTAATGTGGATATTGTTATAAGAACATATTCACACACTTATTTTTAAACATTAAAAACTTTTTATTATGGAAAATCTCAAACCTTTGTTTACCCATTTTTGGAAATCTTTAAATCTTTCTTTTGTATCCCCAAGTTTGTCTGGTATCAATTCCTTGTGCCTGAAGAACTTTCCTTAACATTTCTTACAGTTCAGATCTGTGGCTAATAAATTCTGTCATTTTTTTTGGTCTGAAAAGTCTTCATGTCTGAGAGATATCTTCTGTCAGCATAGAATTTGGGGTTGGTAGTTTTTTGTTTTTGTTTTTTTTCATTTTCCTTTCAGTGAATTAAAGATGTCACTCTGTAGTTTTCTACTTTGCATAGTTTCTAACAAGAAGGCTGTTGTAATCTTTGTTTTTCTATATGTAATGTGTCTTTTTTTACCCCTTTGGCTGCCTTCAAGATCTTTGTATCTTTGGTTTTCAAGGGTTTGAGTATAGTATGTGTAGGGGGTATGTGTTTGTGTGTTACATTTATCCTGCTTGGGATTCTCTGAACTTCTTGGATCTGTTTTGATTTCTTTCATTATTTTGGAAAATTTCCAGTCATTATTTTTTCAAATATTTTCTCTGCCTCATTCTGTCTTCTTCTTGGATTTCAATTACACATTTGCCACATCATTTGTTCTTGATGGTCTATTCTGTTTTTCCCCCCCAAAATTAATAGGTCTTTTATTGCATCATTTAAGTATCACAAGTAGGTCTTAGCTATGATAGGCATCTTGTTTCTGTAGCTGGACAACTCTAAGGTCTTACTCATCAGCCTGCTGAACAGTTCCTTTTTCAGAGACACAGATACCATCCAAAAATTTCCAGATATCCTTGTTTTTAACTGTTGCAGCTTGCTGAATCAAAGCCGCTGAATTTGAAACAAGCTCAATGTCATTTCCTTCAAGGATTAATTCATCTTTCTGGGCTTGAGATACTGAACAAGCAACACCCGGTCTCATTCAAACCCTGCGGATGTATTTTTCACCCAAGAAATTTCGGATTTCAACAAGAGACCCATTCTCCTGGATAACGACGTTGATGGGGAAGTGAGCGTACACAGACCTTATCTTGTAACGGAAGCCCAGCGTAACACCCTTGATCATGTTCTGTACATGACTACAAAGAGTCCGAACGGTAGCCAATTCCAGTTCCTTTCGGTTACCCCACCATTTGTCAACCCGGAGCCTCTTTTTTTTCTTTCCAAGAAGACTGAGTTCTACATTGATGTGATTGAAGTCCTTCCGCAGGGTTCCTCTGGGGCCCTTCACGATAACTGTGCATCCCTTCAGAGTAATGTCGACATTTTCTGGAATGTCGACATTAAACGCGGCAAAGAAGGAACGTCTTTCCTCATCACGTACTTGTATCTATTCTAGTTTTTAAATATTTCTCTCTCTCTCTCTCTCTCTCTCTCTCTCTCTCTCTCTCTCTCTGTCTCTGTGTGTGTGTGTGTGTTTTAGTTTGGAAAATTTCTGTTAACCTGTCTTTGAGTGAACCATTTTTTTTTTTTCCTTGCGTGTGTTTAGTACACTGATGAGTCTGAGAGAGGCATTCTTCATCTTTGTTACCATGTGTGTTTGTTTGTATTCTCCTTCCTGGATCCTGTCTTATAGTTTATATTTTTCTGCTAGAGTTTGAGAATCAGGTGTCGTACATAGATTTTCCACTTGTTTTCTTTGATTTTTGGTTTCCTCTTCTATAAAATAGAAAAGTCAGGAGTAATAGTAACTAACAGAATTGTTTTGGGAATCAAATGCGGTCATAGATAAAAATGTGTGCCCTTGGGCAAGCCCCTTCCCATCTCTGGGTCTCAATCATTCTCATTAAAGGCTTGTACTATATGATTCCTTTGGTACTATTTAGTTCCTCAATTGCAAGTAAAAGGATATTTTAAGAACAAAGAGAGGGTTAACTGAAAAGTATTGATGAAAAATAATAATACCCGAGAACCGAGTGCATGCTGGGTGACAGGTGCTCACATTTACTCCTCAAAATAGCTCTGTGAAGTGAGCAGAGTGAGCAGAGGAGGGGCTCCTCTGCTAAGTCTTCCTTTGTCCAACTTTTGTTCTTCCACTCTACTTTAGACTCTGTCAATATTTTTTATATATAACTCTTACCATCTTTCCACTTCTCATTTTCAGTGAAAGAATTTCTGTGTATTTTGCACAGAAGTAACCCACAGCAAGCTGAATGGAGTTGTTGAGATGTTGAATCTTTGTATTTTTCTAGTCAAGAGTGAAATAGCTCTTCCTTTATGTTATAGATGAAAATTTAAGCATTAATGAACTGAATGTTGGTCTAAGGTAAAAATACTAAGAAAATAGTTGTGGATAAAGAAACTACTCAGCCAACCTGAGGCTTCCCCTTTCTTCCCTCCCCATACATGCTGTTTGTCAAGACAAACAAATACAGCATTTCAAAGTAGCTTTTGCTTTATAAATTACTGTAGAGTAAATATAATGAATATCAAAGATGTGTCCAAATTCTGTGTTTGGAAGCAGTTTTACTGTAATGGGTATTATTCAAGAGTGAAATTATTTAATACAAAGAAACATTCTTCATTCACACTATGAAAAACTGGTCTTCCAAAATACCACAATACAGGCATTCTCATATGAATAATACAGGAAATTAAGTCAAATTATTTTGTAGTTTTTTCCAGTCATAACAAAGTTTTCACAAAAATGCTTTCCTGATCATAGATTTTTAGAGATGGAAGGAATCTAAGGGGTACAAACTAACTCTTTCTTGCCACCGAGAGAGATGAAGCAATTTATCTAAAGTCATGTAGCTAACTAATGACAGAGCCAGGGAGAGAACTAGTGCTTCATCTATTATGCCACGGTGCTGCATTCCTCTGGAAAAGAACTGCCTATTCATTCTTGGTTTTTAATGCTAGTTGGAATCTTAGGGTAAGGTTTTTTCCATGACTAACTAGTGTTCTTTTGTTTTCTGTGTGGGTGTTTGGGAACAAGCTAACTGGTTGTGTTTTTTGTTTTGTTCTGTTCATAACAATTGTACAGTGTAAGGTAATAACAGAGCATTTGTTTGGTTAAACACTTTAGGGGTTAGGAAGAAATGGTTTTAACTCAAATTCTCTGCCCTCATTGTTTAAAATAGGCAAATATTTTAACCTAAAAATGTGTTTCTTAACCTGGGGTTTGAATTCCCTAAATTCTTATGAAAATTATGTGAATATATGGTTACTTTTAGTTTGGAGATGGAGTTTCGTTCTTGTTGCCCAGACTGGAGTGCAATGGCCTGATCTTAGCTCACCGCAACCTTCGCCTCCTGGGTTCAAACGATTCTTCTGCCTTAGCCTCCTGAGTAGCTGGGATTACAGGCATGCGCCATCACGCCCAGTTAATTTTGTATTTTTATTGGAGATCGGGTTTCTCCATGTTGGTCAGGTTGGTCTCGAACTCCCGATCTCAGGTGATCCGCCTGCCTCAGCCTCCCAAAGTGAGGCACTGCACCTGGACTATGCTTACATATTAAGAAAAGAATCTGTAGTTTCCATCAGGTTATCAAAGGATACATAGTTCAATAATATGGTTTTAGAGGAAGAGAGAACTAAGCCTGATTACACTCTATATATCCAAATTTTACTAGAGGGCTCCCTTATTTTCAGCCCCCTCCTGCTGGTGCCCTTTCTTCCTGACAAGCCTTTTCCAAATAGCCTCCTGGATCTTGTCATGGAAGCCACTGGAGGCCTCAACCTTCTCAGAGAAACCTTTCCCATAGGCTTTCCAAGAATATCTTATTTCTTCTTTCTTTGCTTACTTTTTCCAGGAGAAGGTATGAGACTTAAGGATTTTTGTTCATTAGAAGCATCAGGGGGATTATTTCAGTTACATTTCCATTAAAAGGCATTTGTGAGCTGACCTGAGATCCTGACTATTGAAATAAGAAAAAAAAAAGCAACTGGAATTCCAGTCAATACTTTACAAATTAACTTTTAGAATGCCCCTAGTTCTGTACTTCAGGATGCTCTATGTTTGATCTAGAAACTAACATTTTCTAGGAGTGAAATGAAAATGCATGAATTTGCATGGATTGTTTAGGAGTTGCACAGATCTGTCTATAATAGCGGAATTTTTTCTTCCTGAATATTATTAGACTTAGAAGAATCTACCCCTGAATAGAAATCCGCTCCCCCCCGCCGCCACTTTTTTTTTTTTGAGATGGAGTTTTGCTCTTGCTGCCCAGGCTGGAGTGCAGTGGCACGATCTCGGCTCACTGCAACCTCTGCCTCCTGGGTTCAAGCGGTTCTCCTGCCTCAGCCTCCCGAGTAGCTGGAATTACAGGACCCCACCACCAAACCCAGCTAATTTTTGTATTTTTAGTAGAGATGGAGTTTTGCTATGTTAGCCAGGCTTGTCTCGAAATCCTGATCTCAGATGATCCGCCCATCTCAGCCTCCCAAAGTGCTGGGACTACAGATGTGAGCCACCAGGCCCAGCCTGAATAGGAATCCATTTTGATGGGCAGCCTTCCTAGGAGATAACGTATATATAAACAGCACTTTTTTAAAGTTTAGCATCTGAATACACAAAGAAAAAGCTAGCATTAAGACTGAAGTTAGAAGAATGTATTCATTTATTTATTTATTCATTTAAAAAAGCCCTTACTAAGTACATATTATGAACCGTCAGGCATCATGTTAGATGCTGAGAAATAAACCTGGTCTCTTCGCTTGTGAAACTCAGTCTGCTGGGGACACAGCATAACAAATAAGAATGACAATTTAGCCTGCTAAAAACTCCATTATAGGTACCAAAAAAGCAATGAACTAAGTACCGGGCCTGGCCAGGAAGAGGGTTGGGAGTTGGGCCAGGGGAGTATTAGCTGTGGGAGTTAGCATAAACATCACTGAAAAGGTGACAAATATTTGAGTTGTGTCTTAAAGGTTCAATAGAAACTTGTTCAGCAAAGAAGGGCTCCAGCTCTAGCTGATATATTTGTGCCCTTTTAACTAAACTTAAGATTTAACACTCTCTTATTTTGTGTTTCCAATTAGAGCTCCAAACGAGAATGGAAGCCGCTGGAGGACCGTAGCTGCACAGACATACCATGGCTGCTGCTCTTCATCCTCTTCTGCATTGGGATGGTAAGGAAACTCTCATAGATAATCCGAACCTGGACTCATGATCTAAGTTGATTTAATGAGGGGACTTGTGGAATATACCACTCCTCATACAATTCAGTGGTATTTTGTCACCCTTGCTTTATTTTCTATATGAAAACTGAGCTCAAACTAAGGAGCAGTGGGGTCCCATATGACATTCATTAGATCATTTCAGAAAGCAGATCATTTGATGTAAGTCTCTGAATAGTGATCTTCTTGGGGGTGGTGACCAAAACAGTGACCATGAGTCAAGGGCCCTGTGTAGTCACGCAACCCAGTCACACCAACTTGTTGGCTATCTTTAGGGCAGTCAGTTCCTCCCAGGGACTTGGTGTTCCATAGTTCTTCTTAGATGGGAGGCTAGTTGCTCACTGCTCCTTCCTCCTTCTGCCCATCCTAGGCCCCTGCTGCCTGCTGTGTCTATTGTAATGAGTGGCATCTTTCAATTGGAGGTCAAGGGACCTGGTGATTTTCCAATGGGTATAGAGACTGGAGGAGCAGAGTGCTGGTATAAGGTATTAAGGGTGTGCACATTCAATTGTATACCCACTCTACCGTGCAGGAGTTTCTAACACAGACTTCAGTGGCATTAGAGTCCCTGCTGGTGTGCTGGGCTGGAAAAAAGATAGAAAACTGCTATTTTTAAAGTGGACTGATATTTAGAGATAAAAAGGACTCAGAACTCCTCATCTAGTCTATCACCCTTATTTTACAGATTAAAAACATCAAACTCAGAGATGGAAATGACTATTCCAAGGCCATGCTGCTAGTTCATGACAGAGCTGGGAACAAAGTCCGGGTCTTTTTACTTCCAGGTCAATGCTGTTTTCTAACACTCCATTTCCACTTCCTCAAGGGGACTGTGCAGACACATTATTCCTCTCTCTTTCTTAGTCTTTATGTAATTACGCTACCTCAGGCAGCCGTTTTCTTACTCATGTGTATTTTTAATCCCCTTCTTACTATACCTTTTATAGAGTTTCTGTAGGAAAATCTTATTGTCTCTTCTAACTGCCCACTAGGCCAGCGCCATTTGTGAATCACAGAGCAACCATCTTGACTAATAGGCACAATTGTAGGTACCAGGTCTGCCTCTGAGCAAAGGAAAAGAAAGCAATACATTTTAATGAGATCTGATAAATCTAGTAAAATAAGGAGTGTTCATTTTAAAGATAAAAGCACAGTTTCACCAAACTTAGGATATTTAGGAAAGGTCAAAATACATGTCTCCTAACTTATGACTTATAAGGTATTGCTCAAAAGTTTACTTAGTTTAATGGAATGGCAGCTGAAATATATGCAAGAATGTTTATGCAGCATGTGAAGAAATTTTTTTTTTCTTTTGGAGACATAATTTCGCTCTTGTTGCCCCGGATGGAGTGCATGGCATGATCTCGGCTCACTGCAAATCTCCATCTCCCAGGTTCAAGTGATTCTCCTGCCTCAGTCTCCCAAGTAGCTGGGATTACAGGCATGAGCCACCACGCCCAGCTAATTTTGAATTTTTAGTTGAGACAGGGTTTCACTCTGTTGGCCAGATTGATCTAGAACTCCTGACTTCAAGGGATCTGCCTGCCTCAGCCTCCTAAAGTGCTGAGATTACAGGCATGAGCCACTGCATCTTGCCAGAGAAAGATTCTTTGATAACAGAATTAGTCCAAGGCCTTTCCCCACTCCCTGAATGTAACCATAGGACAAATAGAAGCTGACCTTTCAAAATTATTTACAAAAACATATACCGTGCCAGCCAGGTGCTTTGGATTTTCTGTGCTAAAATAGGTCAGGAAAGTGCAATCATTAATGTTAATAGGCTGTTAATAAAAAATTAGGAGCTATTTGTTTACTGAAACATTTTAATGCAATGGTAATTAATATAATGTTGATTTTAGTGCGATGGTAATTAAGACCCACTGTGTGAACTCTTAAATGTTGGCATAGCATTGTTTTCGAGTGATTCTTTTTAATGGACTACCTTGACGGAATTAAGCTAATAAAATAATTCATATTTTGCCACGTAGAAACAGGAAATCTCAAATTTCTATTCAGTGGCACAACAGAGAGTCAACATTTTTTGGTTTCTGGGTATTTGTGTTAAATGATTTTTAGAAGATTTCTTGATTTCTCCCTCTTTGGATTTCATTCCTTAGTACTTTTAAAAGAAACATTTAACAAACATCTGTTGGGCATTAATCTATGCTCAACATTTTAGTACGTGTGTGTGTGTGTGTGTGTCTTTTTAATTTTTTTTAATTACTCTATGAAATAGATTTTATCCCCTGCTTATAGACAGAGTATAGCAAGGTTAAATATTAGCTTGTCTAACAATATACTGCTGGAAATAAGTGGCAAAGATAGAATGGGAACTGGAACTTTCTGGCTATGTTCTTTTCATTGAGTGACCCAGCTGCCTGCTTCTCTTACAGATTATTTCTTCTTAGTCATCTTACAGCCTGGTACTCAAACCATATCTTTATTCTCTATCTTTATTTGCATTTTTTTGCTCATTTTTTGACACCTATGATCTAGTTCTTAAATATTCTAAGATCTTGTCATCTTTCACTCATCTCTACTATTAAATCTCTATACATGTTCATTTCTTTATCAATGTTTGTACTTCTCTTTTATTTCTTTCCTTATTTTCAAGGTTATTCTGCTTGAGTTGTCTAGAACTTAGAGAGTTTTCCAAAGCAAATTACTATCAGCCTTCTTAAGCACTATCTTCTACATTTGAACTTTCCTTTTTCATCACTATTTTGGAATTACTGGGCATGTACTTAGTCTGCTCAGAAAAATTACTTGTAACATTGCACTGCTAAATTTGCATATTTCATTAAGGTAGTAAACAAGTGGTTTTTAGACCTAGTTGTATATTGAATTAGCTGGGATCTTTTCTTTCTTTATTATTATTATTTATTTAGTTAGTTTTAAGATAGTCTTAAATATTAGATAGATCAACAAGTCTTATTATTTTTTTATTTTATATTTATTTATTTATTTAGTTTTAAGATAGTCTTAAATATTAGATAGTTGAACAAGACAGAAAATTAATAAGGATATCCAGGACTTGAACTCAGATCCGGAACAAGTAAACTTAATAAATATTTATAGAACTCTCCACTTTAAATACACAGAATATACACACTTATCAGTACCACCTCACACCTACTCACAGGTTTAAGTGAAATATTGGTTGGCCATTATTAAACACAATTATTGGCATAAAAGAGGTTTTCAGTACCCGTTTTTAGAATAAAGCAACACTCCCGTTCTCTCTCCCTCTTTCTCTTTCTTCCTCTCCTTCATTTCTTATTCTTTCTTTCTTTCTCTCTTTCTTTTTTTTTCAAAAAAAAAAGAAGTTGAGAGATTATCAAGGGCTAAGGGGAGAAGAGAATGAAGAGTGATGCCTTCATGGTTACCAAGTTTCTGTTTGGGGTGATAAAGAAGTTGTACAATTAGATAGTGAGGATGGCTATGCAACATCAGGAATGTGATTAATGCCACTGAATTGTACACTTGAAAATTGTTAAAATGGCAAATTTTATGTTACATGTACTTTTCCACAATTATAAAATTTTTTTTTTTTTTTTTTTTAATTAAAACCTCCATCTCTACCATTTAACTTGATGGGAAAAAAAAAAAGGTAGTCTTGCTGTGTCGTCCAGGCTAGAGTGCAGGTTGCGATCTCGGCTCACTGCAACCTCTGCCTCCCAGGTTCAAACGATCCTTTGCCTCAGCCTCCTGAGTAGCTGAGATTACAGGCACCTAGCATAATGCTTGGCTAATTTTTGTATTTTCAGTAGAAACAGGGTTTCACCGTGTTGGCCAGGGTGGTCTGGAACTCCTGACCTCAAGTGTTTTGTGTGCCTTGGCCTCCCAAAATGCTGGGATTACAGGTGTGAGCCATCATGCCTAGCCTAGGATTAGCTGGGATCTTTTCTTTTAAAAAAAAAAACCAAACCTAATTCCTCAGCCCTACCTCAACAATTCTCATATAATCTCTGCAAATCTGATGTTCAAAAAGGTCAGACCCACTTTTATAGGCACAGATAAACCACTGAAAAGTGTTGAGCAAGAAGTGACATGAGTGGGTTTAGAAAGGTGGCTCCGGCAGCTAATGTTAAGGATGGCTTGGAAGGCATAAAGAGGTTTCAAGAGACCACTTTGGAGGCTGATGTAATGGTTCAGATAAGAGGTGAAAAACCTGAAATAAGGTGGTGCTAAAGGAGAGGAAGAGAGAGATTGAAGAATTAAGATGAATAACATTTATCAATGATGTTATCAGTGTTGTAGACAAGTGAGAGACGGATAAGGATGACTGAGAGGTTCTTGTGTTATGGGTTAAGGATAGATTTTTCAGCTCAAATCCCTCCCCAGCTCCTCCTAAGTTCTCAACCACGGTTTCTGTACACATTAGAAAACAAGAGTGGAATGGATAAATAAAGCACCACTTTATTAGTAGATACCTGATTATGCCCAATAAGGTACTCCCTGGTAAAAAATAACTTGTGGAATGAAACTTGGGTCCAAAAGGCTAAAGTTCCTTCCCATCTAGGATGGTCTGACTTCATTCTGTCTCACAGAGAGTTATTTGTCAGAAAAGGAGAAGAAGAGAGAATGGAGATCTACCTGGACAAAATCTGACCAGATCAGATTACCACAAAAAAGCAAGAACAGAAGAGACTGGATGGCCCTTTAAAGAGTGCTTACCATGGAAAATAGAAGATACACAGACCCCCTACAACTTACTTACCTTAGTACATATTGATGCTTACTATGAGCTAAACACTGTTCTTAGTACTTGACACATAGAAACTCATTTAATTCCCACATCTTCTCAAGGAAGTATACACTGTTGTTATCACATTTCCATTTTACAGAGAAGGAAACAGAGGCATAGAGATAAGCTCAATAACTGTCTAAGATTACATAGTGGCAGCACTGAACCCAGAAGAGGGAGAAGGGGAGGCCTCAAAACGTCATCC